ACAGAAAATCCACCCAAACGTATAAAGCTAGATGTTCCTTGCAGTTCTAGAACTATGACAGAAAGTGAGAATATAGGATATGGTGATAAAGCAAGTAGCAAATTTAACTAATTGATGATTGATTCTAAAGCCAATCAACCGATATACATATATGTTTTAAAGTAATTAAGTAATTTTGTAAAAATGTAAGTCATCACAATAATAATCTTAAAATAAATTAGATTTTTATACTAAATTGAGACTTTCTATCAACATAATACATATCTACAAAATTTAAAATCATTTCTTGAATGATTGCTGCAGTTGGGACTTAAACAACTAGTCATATTTTCGAAATTAAAAGAAAACTCAATAGCACCATATTACAAATACATGAGGAAGGTCAGAAATTGGGCTCCACAATGGCGGACGAGTCTGCTGTATTTTTATAGTGCTATAATGACTACAACCACCACTAATCAGTGTCACTGCCAATCAAGCAAAAACTGATATCACTATGCCGTCATAAACTCGGGCTAATTTATTTATTGAAACCTATTTATTTTTCATAAATGAGTGAAATGGACTAAGGTCGAATTTACCGCAAAAGCAACAATAAATGACACAAATTATTCCTACGCGACAGTAAAAATTTTGGTCCACAGCAGAACGACGCTAGCTTTACAACTATCTAGTAAAGATGTATTTAAACTCAGTCCAATCTGAACCCATGGCTGGCTAATGTTGCAAAATTGAGCGAAAAGGAGTTAAAATTTAAAAATTTGAATCATCTCTATTATATATATAATCAATAAATCATATACTAATTAATATAATATATATAATTCGCATAAATCTCAATATAAAATAGGCAAAAAGCGATACAGAAAATCCGCAAGGCCTTTTCCTAAGAAATCCGGATTTTAATGTAAAAAACTCAACACAATTACGAAGTCAAAGTTTGCAAAAAATAGTGGGTTTCAAACAGTTCTCAACAGTAGCAGATAGAAACGGTTTTTAGGCTACATTTAAGACTTCTGACAACAAATAGTCAAAATTTCAATAGATTTAAGGCTCTGAAAGACACTACAGAAAATTAAAGTCAAGTTCTGCTCATGAACTGAATATCTATAAACTAGAGAGTTTCAAAACTGCACAATATTTGTCAACTCAACTTTGACCACAAAGTAATTTTCAATCCAGATCTAAACCGCGAACATTCTCTAAAATCAAATAATATGTTTAGGGTGTTAAATTTTGGAAAAACAGTCGGAATGCAAATAAACATAAATGGCCGGGATCACTTGCAGCTTCTTAGGGCCTTATATACAGGGTGTCCCCACCGGGAACCGCAGCGATCGATATATGGCAAACTGTAATTAGCAGAAATTTGAAAATTCGGCAGTTATATTAAGGATCAACTTGCTTATTTTAAATGGAACACCCTATATATTATTACATTTTTAAATTCTACTTCAAATTCTACATCCACCTAAGTCTAACCGTTTTTGAGATATTTGAAATTGTATGTAAAAAATGACAGTTGCAGCCACTCGGATAATTATTCATTTTTAATATATTCCTATCTTTCCTGTGTTTCAGTCAGTGTGAAGTAATTTTATTTTATTTTTTCACACTGAAAACTATTGATACAAAGTGTTAAACACACACAAAAAAATACAAAAAATAAGTTTCAAAATACAGTTGAGAAAACCGCCCAAAATCAATTTTTTCAAATGGAAACTCCCATTTTTGATAATTTTGTCAGATTCAGTATTAAAAATAAGTGTAAGTTTGTGCAACGATGTCTATTCCAAAAGTGTTTAGTTTTCGAAATATTGCCAATTTAATGTTTTCTTATGGCTATTTTGCAGCATCTTCTTTTAAATCCTGTCACTCTTAGTTGCCATGACGAAAGGGGCCATTTTTTAATACAATCAAATGCCAAAGGAATGCTCACAACTGTCAGTTATCTTTTGAAAATAATTAATAATCATGTCCGGGCGCTTAAATTATACAAACGAAGTTTATTTAAACTTATTTATTATTTATGGAGAATGTGATAAAGTTATAACACATACACAAAAATCAGACCACAATAAGTAAAAGTGTAAAACTAAAATGTATAAAAAAAAGGTTCATATAAAAACAGTCCACTGTAGAATGCCTGGTAATTTAATGTTGAAAAACTAAATAAAAATGATTTAAAATTTTGTTCAAATTGACCCAAATTACGTTGTGATTCCCAGTATTCATCACATATGAAAAGTGTTCTTTGCAGAAATTCCCATTTGTTAAGGCATAAAATCTAAACGAAATTTCCCAAAAAAAAATGTCAAAACCCGAATCTAGAAACTCCCTCGCAAAGTAAACATTACAGTCAACAATGTAAAATATAATCCGATATGAGACTAAAAACGACCTACATAAATGGCAGCCAGGGGCAAAGTAATTTCAAACTTACCAAAAGCTACATAGGGGCACCTGGAACGAAAGAAAACAGTTCTTTAGTATAAGAGACACTTTGACCAAAGTCAAGCCATAAAAATTCGGTTGCTAAGCTGCTAGCAAAAAATTAAGCCACATAATTTATAGCTAAAGATTCTTACCAGCGTCCCGCATGCTGGAAACCCCATCCTCCATTGTCTGTCCATTAATCCACAAGAAGCCCCCGGTACACTTGAACACACAATGAATATGCGAGCACAAGAACGCGCAGGATGACCTTCCGCACTAGTGCCATCAAACCAATTTACTCTGTATATTCCGGCAAGACAAAAAGGGACCGACCGATTTCACTGGCTGCCCGTAATAAACTGATTATTTTTTTGTAAAATACAGGCGATATTGCGATTTTATCGCATTTGGAAGGCACCGAGCTAGCATAATTACATAATCCTGTGCTTGAACGTCCTTTCTATGAGTCATTGCTGTTCGATTTCAATTATTTTATTGTTATCAATGTTTATACCAATACCAATAATTTTATTGTTTGGATTATCGCCGTAAACATAAACGGCTTCCTGCACCAAAGATAAACATATCCCATCCTGGAGCGCATTAGATTTTTATGCTAAATTAAACGCACCTTTGAAACAGTCTTTTGCTCGATTCCTATGAAACTTTGGACCTTTACAAATCAACCTGGACCTCGCGATTTCACGGCTGTTTTATGCCTATTCCGAAGGAAAATTTCTAGAAATACTGAAAAAGAGACCTCAGTCGATGAAGAGATCTAAGTACATTATTCCGGCCATTGTAAAAACGATGTAAAGCTGTATTGAGTTTTGAAGCTTCTGCGGAATCTGTTACTTAAGGGTTTCTGACGTAAATAATAAAATGCCACAAATCAGCCTAAATCGTACTTTATTAATTAGAGTTAAAAATATGAAAATTTAAATTCTACAGCCGCGCTCAACGTGGATATTGCGAATAGAACATGGGTTTATTTTTTCTTTTTTTTCTTCTCCACCACCGATGCGGGGTTCTCATTCTTTCGTTTTTGGGCAGACTTGGGAGCCATTTGGGTGGGCGTTCCTGGAAAATATTGCCGTTAAAAATGCAAAGCCTGAATGCCACAAAATACTTACCAGGAAGTTGTGAGGTCTTGGGCGCTTTCTTCTTTTTCTCATTCTTTTCCTTCTCCTCCAGCTCCGCGTTTTCCCGTTCAATCAGGGTTATCAATGTGTTGCAGCGCCTCTGTAATTCCATTGCAGTTCGCGATTTCAGGAACCAGTCGAACCGGAATTGGGATGAAGCGCGAACGGCGGCCCGCAGTTCTTCATAGACATTTTCCCTATCGAAGCCCAGCTTATGCAGCATGCACACCAAAAACCGATCCTCTTCCTCCATGTAGTTCTTTCCCTTGTTGTTTCCATAAGCCAGACGCAACTGGTGGAATGGGGCTCTGTAGCGAGCCATTTTTGCGTCCAGTGCTCTCTTGATGCTAGCGCGACGCTGGATTTTCGATTCGCCCCTTTCAATTTGAGCCATTATTCTGTCTATGTCTTGCAATTCGTGGCAACGTTCCCAGAATACGGCGGAATATTCCATGACTTCTTCGGGTGTTTTACCTTCGACATCTTTTGCGATGTTTTCAATATCGTCGCGGCCGTATTTTTCATTAGCTTTGATAAACTGATTGAAATCGCGTTTGCTCCAGTTGGTAAAACCCTGCGTCAATAAGCTATCCTTTTCCTGTTGTTCTTCCTCGGTTAAGGCTTCGGCATCATCAATTTTTCGCTGTTCTTCGCGTTGCTGTTTTGTGGCGTCTGGTCCTAGTTCAACGTTCTTTGGTACTTTGTAGCCCAATGTTTGTCGGTAGTAGTAAATTTCCTGGTCGAGGAGCTCGAACAAGCGCGGCGGGAAGAACTGGAAGTCTTGAACCATCGGTTGCTTGGGAGGCCGAGGAGCTTTGGGAGCCTTCGGCTCGGACACTCTTAGGGCTTCTCTGAAATAAGCGTCCACTGCATAGTTAGCTTTGCGTTCACGCTTTGGAGGCTCAATCCAGTTGCTTATTCCAATACTTTTTTGTTTCTCCCTATAGTCCTCACCTTCAAACTTATATACTGATTGTGTGGGCGTATCCACAGTAAAGTTTCTCAGCGAAGATTCGCCAAGACTTTCCATTTTTTGTGCCAACTCCTGGGTTTTTACTTCTCCCCGCTCCAGAATGCTGTCAATGTCCTCGTCTGTGATTTCCGAGTCTTTGGACGCAAACACATGATTGGCCCCATGTCGAATCATGTTCAACATTTCGTCCTTATTTAAAGTCTGCGCCTTTGAATCGGCCAGTCGACCTTGCTGGATCACCAACTTATCCAAACGCAGTTTGACTTCGGCGCGTTCCACGATTTTTTCCTCCACAGTGTTTTCTGTGATGAATCGAAACACTTTCACTTGCTTTTTCTGTCCAATTCTATGTGCTCTGTCCATGGCTTGCAGGTCCATTTGAGGGTTCCAGTCGGAATCATAAATAATTACCACATCGGCCGTCGCCAAGTTGATTCCCAAACCTCCAGCTCTTGTCGATAACATAAAGACAAACTTCTTACTGTCGTCTTCATTAAACTCGTTAATTTGTCGCTGACGGTCTTCATGCGGCGTTTGTCCATCAAGTCTGCAGTAGTTGTACATTCTCCAATGGCAGTAGTCTTCAAGAATGTCCAACATTCGAGTCATTTGAGAGAATATCAGCACTCTACTGCCTTGCTCTTGGAGTTTAGGTAAAAGTTTGTCTAAAATAACCATCTTCCCGCAGTTTAACACTAAATGCTCATCAGTGGTGTATGGGGGGCCTGGTTCGGCCCCGTCAAACAGATAGGGATGATTACTGCATTTTCTCAACTGCATAAGAATGTTCTGTAGTCTCATCTTCTCCACCTTGCCAGCTCCGTTTACGATGTCAATGTCCTTCAGCAGTACTTTCGTGTACCATTCCCGTTGCATTTTGCTCAATCCAACATAGACTTTCAGCTCTTTTTTCGGCTTCAATCGTTTCTCCACTTCGGCTTTCAATCGCCTGAGCAGAAAGGGTTTGAGCACAGCGTGCAGACGCTCAATTAAACTATCATCGCCCAGACATTGATTGGTGTTAAACCAGGCATCAAAATCGTCAGCTGAGTTAAAAACATCGGGTAGCAGAAAGTTCAATAAAGCCCACAACTCGTGCAGGTTGTTCTGTAGTGGCGTTCCTGTTAACAACAGCCGGTTGGTCGTTTTGAATTCCCTGAGAATTTCCGATAGCTTGGATTTTTCGTTTTTAATTCGATGCGCCTCGTCGATCACCATGTAGCGCCAGTTGAACTTTTTGAATACTGATTTCTCCTTAATGCACATTTCGTAGGAGGTGACGCAAACGTCCCATTCTCCCGGCATCAGGACGTCTCTGATCAGCGCATTCTGAGGAGAAATAAATTTTTTAAACCCAAAACTTTCAATTAAAAATTCAATGTGGATATTGGGATGTACGAAGTTCGAGAAATGGATGTCTTCTGATTACACGTAATGTAAAAAATTAGCTCAATTTATGAAATAGATTAGGATATACATTATACAATATCGATATACAATCATCGGTTGAAAACTTTCTGTTCTTATAAGCTGTAGCCAGTTGGAATTGCTTCCGAACGTTTCGATCACATCTGCACTAATCTCATCAAACGCGATAAGGTAACAGTCAAAACTGTCTTCAAAAAGTCAAAAAGTGCTTTTAGAAATCACTAATAACTGCGCAACTACTGCAAACCATTTTTTGTGAGCCGATTATAATTTTTTTTCAACTTGCTTGCATTGTTTCTGATAAAATTTTTGTTACAAAAGCAACACAAACTCTATACAGAGCAAGCTTTTAAAAGAATGCGAGTTCATCGTTAACAACTTAAGCCGAAAATATACATTACATTTCTTTAATTTATCGATAAAGTGAGTGCTCATTGTCATAATTAACACTTTCCAAATATTAGAAACTCGTAAACAACAATCATACAAATCGTAACTTACTCTGGCTTCTTGGTCCCCAATAAGACACACAGCCCTTAGAGACGGACACCATTTCTTGAACTCAGTCATCCAATTGGAAAGCGTCGATTTTGGAACAATGACAATGTGAGGCCCTGCCGTGTTCTTGTAGTGCTTCATAAATCCCAGCAAAGAAATGGTCTGCAATGTCTTACCCAGACCCATCTCATCAGCCAAGATACCATTGATTCCTGTAACAGAAAATGAGTTTTAAATTCTTTCACGTGTGACAGCGAGCAAAATTACCGTTTTCATACAAGGATATCATCCAGTTCAAGCCTCTGATCTGATAGTCACGCATTTCTCCGCCCTTAATGTATGGGGGCGAAGCCTCAAAGCGGATCATGGCTTTTGTTTTGGCATTGGTTTCAGCCAAAAGTTCCTCATCTTCTTCTTGTTCTGTTTTGCGATGTCTGTGATCCGCCGCAGCCTCCTCTTTAGTTTTCTTGGGCCTGCCAGGGGCTTTGCCCTTGGTGGGAGTCTTACTTTGGTTCATAAAGTGAGAGAAAATTTCGGTTTGCTTAAGCAGGTAGTCGAAACGTCTGCCTCTGTCAGTTTCCAGCTTGGTATCGAAGTCGTCATTTTTGGAATTGGCATCTGACGAGGATTCATTATCATTGGTCTGAAACAATATGCAAATACCGTATTAATGCTTTCTTGCAGGGTTTTTCACCATGAAGACATAGAGTCGCATCAAACTGAAGCAATGTTATGAAAAATCACATGCAACTTACGGCGCTTTCGGCTATTTCGGTTACATCGGGTGTTTCCTCGGCCTGCGACATTTTCGCCTGGTTTTTTATATATTTCCCTCACTAACAAGGATTTATCGTGAAAAAGCGAGCGGAACACGATAACAACAACCACAATACCGCCGGATTTTCTGTCTTAACTTAACCATGTCTTAACAGACGAACGGGAAATTTTTGACATGGTGACATTGACTGTTACCAGCAGTGTTGTCTACATAGAGTAAGTAAAATTTTAAATTATTTTACTTTCTCTATGGTTGTCTATACTCAGACAGTGATGACAAGCAAACATTTTATTAAATTATTTTCAGTATTTCTATGCAATAACTTATTGATTATTGCTTAACTTGTTGAAATAATCTGTCTGTTGTAGCGGTTATAAACGGAAGAAAAAAAAATATAATTAAGATAAGAGTTAATTTTAAGTTAAGAAAATAAATTAGTCCCGCACTTCCCAGTTAAAGTGATTTTTGATTTACAATGCTTATAAAATTAATCTCAATTTTATAAAATCCATCACTGCATTTAAAATAGCGGCAAACCCGAGAGTTCTTCTTCCACTTCCAACACAAAGAGCAAGAAGAATTTGGCAGGTTGTCATACTCAAACCTATTAGTATTTTTGAAAAAGTGTTTTTGTTTTTTCCAAGGTAATCCTTGTTGTTATTTACATGTAAATAAGTAATTTAAGGAAATAATTACATCTAAGCAAAACAAGCAAATATGCTTTTCTAGTTGCGAAGGAGACAATGACAGCCACTTGCCCCCCTTGCCAATTTCCATACGCTGTTTTCAATTTTTTCAAGTTATAAGAAATTCGCGCGTGTTCAAAAGCTTGCAAACTTAATAATCCACTGTCCATATCCAAAATATCTAAAGTACAAAAGAGCTTGTTTTTGGCTACTGAAAATCCCATAACTTGCATTTCATTATCACACACACATTGCATGTCAGATAATAATCCTAATAGATAATTCTTTGGTAATTTTATAGTTATCAGGCTCTCGCGATCAAACTGCATAATATGCTCATCTGATACTAAATTTTAGCATTTTAAACCTCTAATGTCGGCAATAGATTGTGAAAACTGTAAGTTACTGCTTGCCTTGCAAACCTTCGTTTCGAGACTCACATTTACAAAATTCAATAAATTCAGGATTTATTGAAATTTATATGGCAATTTTAGCATTTTATGCCTCTAGTATCCGCATTGGACCGTTAACATGTTACTATACGTATACAATCTGTTTAATCACGTCTTTCTAAGTGTTGTTTTCTGTGGAAATGCGGTTTTCTGCCACTTTTCACTTATTAAAATTCGCTAATTTTACATAAGATTTATGAGGTCAAGAAGGTTACAGGAAAAAAATCTTAATTTTGTTAATTTTAATTATTTATCTTGACCGAACATAAACATGTTTTACATGGTTGAAGAGCATATTTAAAGGAGAATTTAAAAATGCAGAAATTCAATATGGCGCCCATAAGAAAAACAAAAGTTGACTTCGGCCTCATTGAACATAGTGGGCCTAGATTATTTTTTACTTTATTTTCGAATTCACGCTCATTTCTTACCCCCACCCTGAAAATTTCGTCATTGTACCTTTTATAATAAACTCGATATAAAGGATTTTATAAAACGCACTTTTTTCTTTTTTTCCCTGTATATTCGTTGCTATTCCGAGTTCAAAGAAGTTGATGACAGATTATTTATAGGCACTTGATTGCGCAAGTTTTTCCCCATTTGGTCCACTCTGTATTTTTAACGGTTTCTAATATCCCCATGTACATCATTTTATACTGGACACACTGTATATTGTTACATTTTTGAATTCCACTCCAAATTCTAAATATATTTCATGTATAATATCCTATACCTAAGTCAAACCGTTTTGGATATATTTGAAATTTTATGTAAAAAATGAAAGTTGCAGCCACTCGAATAATTCATTTTTCCTATAAGGGAATTTGTCATACTTAATTTGATTCGCATTTATTGTTGAAAAAGACTTTTTGAAAACTATTAATACAAAGTGTTAAAAAATAAATTTCAAAATACAGTTGAGAAAACCGCCCAAAATCAATTTTTTCAAATGAAAACCCCCATTTTTGATAATTTTGTCATATTCAGTATTAACAATAAGTGTAAGTGTGTGTAACGATGTCTATTCCAAAAGTGTTTGTTTTTCGAAATATTGCCAATTTAATGTTTTCATATGGCTATTTTGCAGCATCTTCTTTTAAATCCTGTCAGCCTCTTAGTTGCCATGGCGAAAGTGGCCATTTTTAATGCAATCAAATGCCAAAGGAATGCCAATCAAATGCCAAATGCCAAAGGAAGGAGCTGTCAGTTACCTTTTGAAAATAATTAATAATCGTGCCCGAACCGGGTACAAACGAAGATTATTTAAACTTATTTATTATTTATGGAGAATTTCTATGGAATCTTATTATATATTTATTATTATTCGCCTAAACTTCCCCAATTGAACTTGTATACCTACAACTCCTAATAATTGTTAATAATCATCCTGAAGTTTCAAGCGATTGCGAGAAATAAATGAAAGTGATGAATAATTAGATTCTATTATATGTTATACTTAGAATATATTTAGAACTTCGAGTAGAATTTAAAAATGTAATAATATATAGAGTGTGCCATTTAAAATAAGCAAGCTGATACCTACTTCCGGTTTAATCGCAAGTGTGGCCATATTGAAAGTATTTTAGACCGTTTGCCCCCAATGACTTCGGTACACCGTCCAATTTTCAAATTTCTCCTAATATATTTTTTTGCCAGATATCAATCGTTTGCCCGATATCAATCGCGGCGGTTTCCGGTGGGACACCCTGTATAAGGCTAAACTTAAGGTGAGCATATTGTTCGAACGCGAGGTTTCGATAATTAAGAAAATGATAGAAATTTTTTATTATGGTGTTATATCGGAGCTGCAGGTGAAGTTTTCTGAGAATATCTTTTGAATCTAGCAACACTTCTCATGTTCAGATAAGCTCAGTTTCTTATGACTTTCTGACAGACTTTCCTTATTTAACTTTTTTAGACAACTTGACCATTTCTGACAAAGCTTACCATAAAAACTAACGATTAAACCGAATAAAGTTAAAGAACACCAAAGGAAAATTACCGGTCGTTTTTGAACCTTTTAAAGAAATAAATATAACCGCTAAACCCATGGGTTTTGTTGGATTTGAGTGGTTTAATCTAGAACAATGACATTGAATGAGATCGCAAAAATTCTAAATAATACATAATCCCGTTTTAATATTCTAAGTTCATCAATTAAAATGAGGACTAGCTGCAGAATGCTCTTTAGATCCTTTGATTCAGAAAACCTTGCTCTATTATGGCTGCAAGAGTCCATCTAGTCCAAATTTTTTTGAAAAGCGTTCAAGTTTAAGTAGCTTAATTAACGTAAACACTAAAACATTACGTTATCCACGTTGAAATTTATATTTACTTGTTTATGTTGAAATAACTACTGCATTATATTCCAGCCTCGTATACATATACATTTAACCCTGTTGTAGAGCGCAAGTTAACAATTACATTATTTACATGCATGAATTTAGGCATGCCGAAATAACAGTATTTGTGCGTCCAGTAGGCGGTGGGAGTATATTTGAAGCAAAAATACGTTTTAAGGTTGACCTTTTTTATTGTTACTTAACAGTATCGCAGAGCTTTGTTAGCGATTGGTTAAACCGAGTCCCAACTACAATCAATGGGAGTTAAATCGGGACATACCGGTGGCCAATAGGAGACAACGATTTTGCGTTTTGCTTTTCTAAGGTGTTTTTCTGGCTATTTTCTAAGGCGTTTCCGGAGAAATGTGGCAAATATGTGAGATTTGAAGATTCAAACAGAATTTCGTGTTCGGCGAATATTCAAAGAAAAAAATGAATTTTAATATAGACCCTTTATTGTTGTGTAACTGTCTCGTAAAAAAATCTAAGCCATTTAATGCAGCTCCAATCAGGTGCAAAAGGACATTTTGTAAACTGATTTTCCTTAAGTATGTTCAATTTTTTTAAACTTGTTTAAGAAATTTATTAGAAAATACATTTTATTAGGTTTAAAACAAGTTGAAAACAAAAACCGAATTTCCACAATAAACACTTTTAAGAAAAGTTGTTCGTAAAGGGATCAAGAGCTTGATATACGAGAAACTGACCAATTTCCTAATTCCACTTCAACTGTGCGTTGTTTGACTTTCAGAATGGGTACCAGAAAACATATAGTACATGGTATAATCGGTTTGTCAGCGATTTGCGTCTACACTTGGCCCTCATCTCTGTCTCTGATCGTCTTCGTAGTGCTGACTACGTTAGTGGGAATGCTAGGAGTACTAGCTGGTTTATGGGTCAATGTTTTATTATCTTCACCGCACAAAACCATTGTTGGAGCTGAGCATCAGCTCAAACAAGCAGAAAACTTCCGGAACAGATTGATGGTAAGAGGCAATGAGAATCATAATTCAATGAATCTTTCTGACTGCTTGGAGGATATAAGTTGATGCTTTTGCTTGGAATAAAATTTGTTTTTTTCTGTACTGAACAGCAAGTCATCCGTTAATTACAACTGAAATACACATGACCGAAGTATACAGGGTCTGTATATAGATTTTCTTTAGTACTTACACAGAATATTTGCTTCATATGATAATCTGTCCGTTTGAAGTGGGCCATTATCGAAAAATTACCACGGTAATTTTGTATGAAAGTAATCGGGAGGGTTTATTTTCGCTCGCGGCTGTTAAGCCACGAAATTTTATTAAAAAATATATTTCAAATCAATCAATAAAAATTTAAAATAAAACAAAAATCTATGGAAAACTATTGGAAATGTTGGGAAGCTTTCGAAATAAGATGCGTCAGTAGTATTGACGATTTTGTTAATTAAACGCCAATTTCTAATTTGATCTTACTTAGAAGACTTTCGTTTTCTTTTCAACTATTTTGGGATGAAATTAAGGACATGATGATTCCAAATAATTCAAATTTTCACACATTTTTAGGCAAAATTTTGAAATTCGTCACAATGAGGAAGATAGTGGGGTTTTTAATAAACCCTAATATTCTTTGAAAACTTAAATATGTGGTTTGCCTAGTGCATCCACGACATACTTTTACTAAGTTACTAAATACGATCCTTGAATGTCGTTTTCGTGCCAGAAAAACTGAGAGCGCTCCCTAGTTTCTTTAATATAAATATGTAATGAGGACGGCTAATGTTTTAAATTAAATTTAAATCCAACTTTATTTACATATTTGTATTGACTTAGAAAAAATCACAAAAGCTGCAATATTTCAAGGCGGCATTGCTTAGGACATTTTAAGAAAAACGAACTTTTAAATACAGATCTGAATGTACCTACCTATCCTTTGAAAGTGCAGCGCAAGAATATTTTTGAATTGCCATCTTTTGAAATATTGTGGTTCCAATTTTAGCAGCGCGGTTTGTATTTATAAGGAGCTGATTTGACCGAAAGTGGTTTAAAATTATTTAGTCCAATGGCGCAAAATGAGGCCATCTTAACCAAATGTATTGGCAAATGAATGTACACCATTCACCTTTTTTCCAGATTTTAAGCATCCAAAATTACAACCTTGTTGTTGTCTGCATGTTTTTTAGAAACTATCACCTGAAATATTACAGCGTCTATTTTAAACACCCGGTATTCTAACAAACCAATATTTTCTCAGAAAGACTACGATTCTCAGCAAATAACAAAGCCCAATGAACTGAATCTACCATCAGTCTTTGGCAGAACCGTGGACAGTTTGCTGCAGCAACTACTGGACTTTGTTATCAGAGACTACATTACTGCCTTTTTGAAAGACTATGCATTTGAACTGGATTACTTGGAATTGAATATAAAGTGTGTGTTTTAAGATTGTTTGCAAAGTGGAAAGTGACTAGGATTATTTTTAAGGGAGGATCTATGGGGCGCAGTGAAAAACCTTCATGACAAGTTTTTGCGAGTAGACCATGCAAAGTTGATTGCTTGTGATATAGTCAGCGTTATTACCAGTCATTTTGAGAAAATCCGCGAAGGAAAGCTAGCTAACAAGTGAGTTATATTTTTGGGAGGCACATGAAGCTGATGCTTTTCTTATAGTGGTGATCCGCACATTCCCCCGGAGTTCAAGCTTTCCATGCACGTGATTTATTCGGATATGGAACTGCAGTATTTGCGAACGCTCAGTGAGGTCTTGATAATGTTTTTGATGCCCAGAGCCTACTCGTTGTCACCCACCAAGCATTTTATCCGCGAGGTTCTTTGTTGTAAAGGTAAGAAATAAACCGAATCAAATAAAAAATTAAATACGCACTGACCATTGTTCTTCTAGTTTTGAAGACATTTGTCGAGCTTGTCACAGACCCAGACTTCTTCAATAGGAACTTGATTGCTTACATAGCCAAAGCCAATCAGCAGCAAATAAATTTGCCCAAGAGAGCATTGGAAAATGTCGAGGTTTACATTGAAAAAAACGACGACGTCCACGTACTAAAGCAAATAAGGTAAATCAACACAAAATTAACCGATGTAGGTGTTTGAAGGTTGTATCTTAATATTAGATATAGTATCGTCACAAAACTCATGCAAGCCACCACACTACAAAACCTTAATCGTGCCAAAGGAGTCGATCTGGACAATGACAAAAGCAACATGCAATCATCGGGAATACAAAAGTCCGAAATAAATGCCGCGAAGCGGCTAAAAAAGACGATTAATCACTTGACGATGGCAAAGAATCTGTGTGAGCGCAAACTGACCAGTCTCGGATGCGATCTGGGATATCAACTTGGAGACGACTTTAAAAAGGTACTTGAAAAAACGCTTAGATTCAGTGATTCAAACTAGATTTTCAGGTGCTTTCACTTCAGACAGTTTTGGATCACATAACAGGCAGGAAATATCTATCGCAGTTCCTGCAAACCTTAGCCAGTCATGACTTGGTGCGTTTCTGGATAGCAGTGGAGGAATTGAGGGCGGCGCAGCGCAACCACTGGCACCAGTTGGGAGCTGAGATATTTTACACATTCATTCGAAACCCTGTTTCGGAAATCAAAGTGGACAAGGCTGTGCGGAAGAGAATGGAGGCGTTTCTATTGGGTAAGTTGTTTACGTGCTGGTATGGGAGATGGTTATGTAATTAAGACAAACTAGTCGAGGATTGTTTAGTTGAATCAGTACTTCATAGTTTTTGGTGTTGCTTGATGAAGAAAAAACCCAAAATTTACTAATTCAGTTAAGAGTCCCAACTATCGATTTATGGGAATTGCATACCGATTTATGCGTATTAACAGTTCAAGCCGTAAGGAGTAAAAGTGACACAATGCATGATATTCAACTTTCGCTTTCTGGATCAAAACTGCTCGAATTTCACTCATGTTGTGACTGAATCGAATCGATTTTCAGTTCTCTATCTAATGATACCTACACAAATTCTCTGACTCAAATGATTCTTGAGGAACTTCGAAAAAACTGCCAAGATTTCCTTATTGATGGTTCACTTTCTAAAAAGGTAATTTTTCTTTCTCTAGAATGATGTAAAAATGAGCGTTCTGGCTCATGTTGTTTCCGAGAAATCAGCAAAAGCGGGACGGAAAACATGAAATTTTATATATATTTAGCCAACGGTAATTTTTTTTAAGATTGATGAAAGGTGCCTCTTTAAAAAAGTTCTTTAGATGCTGGATTTTAGATGCTTTTACTTGATTTTGTTGTGTGTATGAATGTAACCTTGCCCATACGATACGTCTGGAGTAACGGGTTAACTGTTAACAACCCATAAAAGAAGCAAATATTATTTAATTTAAAATTTTTTTCCAGGCGACAAAGGCCCAGAGGTTTTCTACGAAGTTCAGCAGCAAGTGGTTCAAACCATTGAGGACAAATACTATCAGCCCTTCCTAATAAGCGACTACTACAAAGAAATGATCATTGCTATCGAATCGGAAACGAATTTAATTGAGCACGATAGTGTAGGGTCTGGAGGTGAGAAACAGTCCTCTTTGGAATACGTGACTGGCTTGGAGAACGGCTTAAATGTCGGCGATCATTCTAATTATGCCCGACGGAAGCTGGATCAGTTAGCAGAGAAGCTGAGTAATAAATCCCAGGTATGTTGGATTTGGCTCAGAAAGTGAGTTTCTATAAAAGTCGGTGTCTAGGCGTTGGCTGCTTTGAGGTCCTCTATGCGACCTGAGTCGAAAGTGCTGACGAAGCTTGAAAAAGAAGTGGAGTGGTTGCAAGGCGAAAAGAGGCAACTGGAGGCCCATCTATCTAGAACCGAAGTTTGGGCTGAAAATCTGGGAAAGTGGACTGCAATTGTACAAAGCGCAGAGGTGTGACAAACTCCATATCGAGTTTCTAATCGCATCGTATTTTCAATGGTTTTTATACTATTAGGTTGCCGAAGAAAAAGAACCGCCTCAATTCGTTCTAGTGGTTCAAATGTCTGAAGAAGACATTGCTGGTAGTGAAGCGGGCATCTGCTCTGGTTGGGTGGTCTGTCGCAGTCTAACGCAATTTCAGGAGCTGCACAAGAAGTTGCGACCCCTTTGCTCCGACGTCAGAAGTTTGGATCTTCCTTCGAGTACATTCAAGTTCCTATTCGGAAAAACCGATAGAGCCTCTCTGGACAAAGCCAAAGGCCAAATTCAGAAGTACCTTGATGTACGTGAGCTTTTTATCCCTTTCCTTGCCCTTTGCTCGATTGCTTCCATTTCAGTTTGTGTTGAAAAACGATATTTTGAATCAAAGCGAAGCTGTTTACTCATTCCTGAGCCCTAGTTCTGAGCATTTGAAGCATTCGTCACCCAGTCCCAAGAAATCCAGATTCTCGTTTTCCACAATATTCAAAAGGTGAGCAGCTGGGTTAAATAATGTGACCAGATGCTGATACAATTCCTTGCAGCGGAAACGATCAGGGACCATCACTATCGATGCTCAAAGACAACTCAGAAGATGATATTTCACAATGCCTAGACACTGTTGCAGTTGACGCCATTGACTTTGTAAAATCTAACGGACAGACGATCAAAGTCTCTGAAGATGGGAAAGATTCCATCGCCGAGCCTCTGTACGGCCTCCTAAGCGAGCTGTTTGACATGGGAGGCGTTTTCAAGTATGTTAGGAAGACACTGATCGGATTTGTCCAGGTCACTTATGGTAAGCTTCAAGAGTTTTACCTAGTCTCCGTGTGTTTATCAATGGGTTTCTTCAGGACGGAACATTAACCGACAAATCTACGAGACGATATCGTGGTGGTTTTCCGAAGAAATGTTGCACTATTACGTTGCGCAAATTTTGAAGAACTTTTGGCCGGGCGGCACTTTGGCAACTCCAGGCCCGACTAGAACGCAAGAACAGCGACTGGAAACCGCTCAAATGGCGCAGGAAATGCTCATAAACAACGTACCTGAAATGCTGATTACACTGGTTGGGAGCACTGCAGCCCGAAATGGCGCCAAGAAAGTGTTCGATGCGCTCCAGGAGAAAAATATGAATAAGCAGCTATTTTATGTAAGTACTGCGTTTGTTTTATTGGGATGAAATTGAGGAAGTTTATTTTTCTTCAGCAAATTTTAGAGGTCACACTGGACGCAGCTTTTCCAGAGCTACAATAATGGGGAGGTTTTTTCAAGGGTTCAGTAGTATTGTGATTGTGTATCAATTCTGTGATTTATTTATTTACATAATTCGGTGTTTGTAAGACTATTCTTCGATATAGTTCGTTTTTAATTGGCGCTTTTGTGCGTTTTGTTGGTGTTGTAAGTCGGTTGGGCATCAATAGCGATTATTTCTAAATTCCAAATATTTAAAAATTGTCATACTGCTTCGTTTAAATAGATGTTGAAATATCTTTTTAGTCCGTACTGGTATTGAAATGACTCATCCTTTAACTCGGCCCAAACGAATGAACGTAGATTTTAAACGTTTTAGTTGTTGTTGGAAGTGCAATATTTTTTCAAGGGTTTTTGAGTTGTGATGCAGGTTATTGACCAATTTTTTGAAACAATGAAGAGACTTCTTGAAGTCAAGAGCAAAATAATGGAATTATTTACTGATGTTTTTTTTATTTTGTAAACAGCAGAAAAATTACAAAAATAATCAACTAAGTTTACTAGTCTAAACTTGATTTTAACATAATAAATTAATAAAAAATAACGTTAACTTTGGCTACAATTTAAAAAGTACTATTATAAGCTCTCGGAGAGCAGAAGTAATATATTATTTTTCTTCATATAAATTATGCATACTGTAATATTTGTTCTTAAAATTAAATAAAACAAAAACAAATAATAATTATAATAATAAACATTTGTATAGAGCTAATAATGCTTTTGTTGGTTTCATATTGGATTGAAAGAGCGGTGGGGTAAAACAACTTTAAATTTTCTATGCCATTAACAATGACGATATATAATTTTGAATAAATGTAAAAAGTTCATTGATTTACCAAAATATGCTTATTGATTTTTTGAAGTTCTCCTTTCCCATTTCCAGATAAATCATTACTAAATGCTTGATATACATACTTGTTGACCTATGCAAAACTAGACATTTATTTTTACACGTTTACCTCCAAAATTCACAAAAATGTTCTATCAACTGTAATGAATGAGGGTGAGTACCTACGTGTAGTACGGTAAAAATCGAATTTTGAACATGGATAAAACATTTTTGCAAACATTTGTATTGTAGTCAGTGTTATCTAAACGTTATATAGCAAAATACATAAAAATATACTATGGAAGGTGTTAAACTAAATATTCATGTCTGCTCGATTGGTGCATGTTTGTGTAAAACTTCCCAAAGCGAATGCGTTTCTCGCACATAATAAAAACGTTTTAGATTTTCATATCGGGCAATTGTTGGAGCAAACAGGAATATTCGAAATGCTAATCACCAACATTTTGTTTTGTTATTATTTTTTTCTTTTTGATTATGTCATGTAGTATAAAATTCTCCAACGCGACTTAAATGATATATATCAGATGCCAAATTGACTTTGCCTTAACAGTACAGTTCTTATTCAAATTGTATTAAGACGACATTTATGGAAAACACAATCTACAACTATAAAAGCACACACCATTTATACCAGCGTTTCTAATCTCTACGATCATAAATATATTTTATTGTTTTTAAATAATTAAATATATAATCAACTCTAACGTTTCTATACAATGTAATATGTTTAATATAGGTATATTTTCTATACAGAATAGGTCCCTAGATTTTTATTCTCGTAAATATGTTAACAAATCTGTTTCAAACGTAAGAATAACCTCTTATTTAATGTTCCCTGTCATAGGGATACTCTGAAATACCCAACTTTTGCCTGGCAATTTTATTGACTTTTGAGGAGTAAATTATAAGGGCCACTAAGCGAATTTGTTAAATGTATTTGTTTTCCCCCAAATTTGTGTAAAAATAGCCTTTGGTCTCTACAAGTCTGGGCGCTAATAGCACAGCTTATATGTAATATAGATATTTAAGTTGTGCTAATGGTACAATTAGTTAAGCAAAAGGCTTGTCTGACATTGTATAGTCAGCTACTTCATACTCATTGTACCTAGAGATGATTAGAAGGTTACTACTCATTGTTCAAAAGAAAGCTTTAGATTACCTTAATTGGTTGCTCAAGTTATGATATATTAATAAGCATTCTGCAATTCCTCAGCGGTTCATCTGCAGTCTCTGGCAGGTTCGCTACCCGTCTGACCTTAATCATTTTAGTTCTTCTGAAGAAATTTTATTGTTGAGACAAAAATGCTTAAGAACCTGTTTTTCTTCTCAATTTATTTGAACGACTGTAGGGTAAGTGTCGGCTAGTATACACTAACTTGGGCAAAAGTAGATATTTCAGATTTTAATAGAGATAAACAAGGAAAACCGATAATATAGAGCGAGTTTCTGCTCTTGAAACCATTGATAGATTTAGCTCGAAAGCCCTAAACCGTGTACACACTCACCTCACAGTTTTTACTTTATTATCGTATTTAAGTGGGATTTTTAATAAGTCTCTTCTGTCTGAAGTCGTACACTTTGCGACAGAAAAATACCATATCGGGAGAAAGATTGCTTGATGGAGGCTGCTTTCGTATCCTCGGGTATGGATCCGGAAGGGGCACTAATCTTGGTCGTTCTTCTATGCCGACTTCCATTCTTTTAATATTCTTTTTGTATCTGAAAAAAGAAAGGTTTTTTAGTTTCTTTTTGGTTCTGTATTTCTTCAATCACATGATACTATTTTCTCAAATAACGTGTATATGATATGGCACGGAATGGGACTTTGTATGTCCCTAGGGTTTTTGTCTATTCCCTTTTATCCAAATAAGCAGCTACATTCGCGAATATACATACGGTCAATACGAAATAAAGTTGATATTTTCAAACAAAAATTGGCAAAAAATCTCTTGAATCGATGACTGTGAATGAACCAGAAGTGATTTGAGTGTTTAAATAAATCGATATTCATTTTAGTATAAAAAAAGCTGGCTAAAGTTTTGGTTGCAAAAAATACATCGTCTACAGTTCGTGTTTGCACCAATTTCTGAGATAAATTCAGATTTCATACCCTTCTATTTGGTGCAAATAACTAACCCAAACGGACGCAGCTAGCGATCATATTTCACATTTATTGATGATTTGTATATTATGCGTCAATCAAGATTTTTACCAATCAAGTCCAGTATGATTGAATGCATTTTTGTTTTTTTGGTGTGTTGGTAATGGTTTTTAAGGAATAAAAGTACATTTTACGGTTAAAAACAGCTTATAAGTTTAGATGTAACAAAGGTGATGCGCTTTTCATTGGGTAAAATAAATTAATTTTATATCTACATCTTGTCGATGCAAATCTTTAAACGCGCTTCAAAGGAAAAATTACGTTTTATTCTCTTTTACATAATATGCATAGAAGCTCAGTTTTGTATAATTACGACGAAAAGTCCTCTGTATTGTTAGTCTTCTTTCGAATGAAGAACTTGTAAACTGTGTATTTTTTAATATTCTTCCCGAAACTCGAATCTAAGTGGCGCAGTCGGTAAAATTATCAAAACTCGTCATATCGAACATCAATTTTCCTGTCTACAATCAATTAAATTGGGAGTTCGAATTCGATCTGGTGTAAAGCATCAATATAAACCAGTTTACCAGAAGTCCAGGGTGATGAATTGGCACTCTAATCACGAATACAAAGAAAAACTTTCGATAGTTTAAAAATAGAAAGCAAGAACCTGGTAAGAAAAATTCCGGGAAACCTCGATTATCCACGTTTAATGCTTCGCATTGACTTCATTCTTCATTATGACGGAAATCGTCAAATGTTGTTAAGCGTTTTCATAGAAAATTGCTAATCCTCAGCTTTTCAAAATCCAGCCATTAGACGATTTAAACTTGTAGTTGTAGTATAATACAGCCTCAGAGAAGTATCTCCGACGTCTCAAGAATAACTTATTTAAAATCTGACAAGTGCCCTTTTTACATAACAAATAGGAATGAACAAGAAGCGAACAAGATACGACTAATAAAGTATACGACTAATAAAGTACACAAAACCTTTCAAAAAAGTTATAGTGGTATTTTTTTGAAGCAAAACTAAATTATAGGAAAGTTTAAAAAACGCAAAAATCGGCGGTTTTTATTTCGTTTTTTGAATAAATAAATGAACGGATTTTAATTTAGTTGTGTGTGTTAGTGTCTTATATTGTAGGTATTTTTAATACATAAAAAAAAATTATTTTTTTAAGCATCAAAGGTTTTTTGCACTTGCTCTGTAATTATTCGGAAATCGGGCTCAAACTATTGTCCCAATATTCTAACATCCTTCCAAACAACTTCCAATAATCATTTACCTTCATCTATTTAGTGCACGGAAAAAATCTAATCCGACTGGACTATTAGTCTATTGCTCACATTTAGAGAACTGATTGAGGTACAGATCGTTCGTTGTCACTGAAGGATAGAGCTTAAAAATGTTCACTTTTTTGTACCAAAAATCGTTTTAGAAATGTTTCTGTTTTCTTTTGGAACTCGTAATTAAACTAAAATTAGGCTGTATTAAAATTAAGTTTTAAAGATTAACGATTCAATCCTTTCAAAGCAAAATAATGGTGAAAGCAGATGCAAGATCTTTAATTGTGACAAACATGAGTAGCAGGAATATTTTACAAGCTGAAAAATGTGTTATATTACAAACTTGACAATATTTTTAAGAGCTTTACAACCCCGTATGCAATCAAACATCCCTTTTAGAATAAAAATGCGATAAATTTTCTTTAAAAGTATTCTTTCCGAAGCTCGAATCTACTAAATGGCGCAGTCGGTAGAAATCCCAAAATTTTCTTTTTAAGAAACAGTTTACAACACGTTCTTTAGTCCAAGACTAACAATAAAGACGAGATTTTCGTTGTAAATACTTAAGCGCAGGAAACCTTGCGAATAGAAGGTAGATAAAAATATTCTGTTAGGTGGTTCTGTTATCATTGTTTATACTGTTTCCTGCCTTGAGGCTTCAAGAGTGATGGGTATTTTGGTTATGAGAGTTATTTATATTCGACTGTTAAAGAGAGCAAATATCAAATGGGCGTTATCATTATGTGTGTCTTTCAACGCGCTTCCAGAAAAAAATAACGTTTTTATTACGTATTATTTATAGAAAAGCAGGAACGTTTCCGTGCTTGCGATTAGAAGGTAGATACTCAAATATGTTTTTATTTTGCATCTTAAATAGCGATATTACGTTCGAGAATATGAGTATGATTCCCTATGACTTTAAGTGTTGCGAAGCTCAGCACTTTAAAATGTGGCAGAATCGGATTGAATAAAGAGTGATCGGGATTTTTGCTTCATACTTGGAATAAAAGGTTATTCGCATTTAACTGTTAAAAATTGCTGCTATCAAAAATGTTGAAATCAGTTTATTGACTCAGTAGTAAATGGGTGGAACAAGTACAGGTTTTTGAGTAAGTCGCAAGCAAGCAATCCGAAGACCGGTTTCGGACCTTTTGGTACTCATCAAAATGTGCTTTAAAGTGGTCTGAATGAATGGATTTTCCGGGTTCGGTGAAAAAAGTGTATAGTAGCAAAAATATGCTTTCGATAGTTGAAAAGGTGGGGTGAAGCAAAAAACCTGAAGTTAAATTGCCTAACTTAATATAACTAAAGAACAACTACGTTCCAACATATTTGAGAAGTAGGTATGCATTTCTTTGTCACATTTTGTCAATGTTTTAAAATTGTTTAATTTCATTGTGAATTGCAACATGCTAAAAGGCGGTTGGTCAGAAGTAGGTATCTTGTTAACGGATGAATGTTTCGGCTCATCGACTGAATGTTTTTATTAGTGAATCTCCGGGATTGTATTAATCTGTTTAAAGGTTGACTCTTTTCTTTTCATTACCTGCAATACTCATTGAAGGTCAACACATAGCATTTGTCCTCTATGCATGCTACCGAATTGGAATCCTTATGTCTGGAGGCGAAGACTTCATCTGGTTGGTCGGTTAGAAGTCGTCCTTGTTCCGTGTGCTCTGGCCGGTAGTACCAAAGGAGCGACATCATCATTTCACCTAAATACAGTTCGTTTTATCACAAGAAATCGTTGAAAGAAACGACGACGATGAATGGAAATAGCTGATTAAACATGGAAATTTACCGTCTTCTGCATTTTCCCAAAGCGAAGCGATTTTTGCCACATATGGAAGGTCGTTCTTTCGCGGGCCGGCTTTTAACAGCACACAATCACCGGGCCGTATAAGGTCGCCTTCTCTGTGCCTCATCGATGGATAGCATTTGACTAATGTAGTCTGATCGCTCTGTAAGACATATATTTTTTTATTGGTTGGGTGACAGTCGCATTGAACTTGAAATCTCACATTCATGAAAACCTTGCTTTGATAGGATTCGCCTTCCCACATCCATCCATTGGACCACTTGGGCAATGTAGAAAGTCGCCTGGGGGCCCTCAACTCAGTCACTGTAGTTTCACTTTTGCGCCTCGGCGTGGACTTTCTTCTATTTGTGCCGCCTCGCACCGTTTTGTTTCCCACGTTCTTTGCTTCCAGCTGTTGAGTGTCACTTTGTGTCCTCACTGATTTGGTAATCACGTCATCAATCACGCGGTCGATGGTGTTTTTCGCGATTAGATTATCGAGAATTTTCGGCGCCGTTTTCGCACTGGCGCTCGGTTTCTTCTTGCTGGCTGACTTCTTCGGGCTTTGCGACACGCGTTTTATTGCGCTCTTTCTCGCCCTTATCCTCCGGTTGTTGGTCTGCTCTTTTGATACGTTGATTTTCTTCTTTGTGGACGATTTGATTTTGATCTTCGGCTGGATCTTCACTCTGGATGCTTTGCTTACGAGGTTCTTCTTGCCGTTGCTTATTTTGAAGCAGCCCGAGTACTTTCTGATGAAGTCCTTGTATGAGCTGATTTTGTTTTTCTTTGCAGGCGGCGGGTTTACAGCTTCAGGTACTGGTTCTTTCGATTGCGACTGTTTGCGCTTCATGTTCTTCACTTTGACGTTTTCCGCCACGGTTGCTGTGCAAGGAGGCAGCGGTTCCTCCTTTGGTGGCGGCGGAACTGGGCTCTCTTTTAGCTCCGAGTTTTTATCAGCCTCGGGGCTCGCATTCAATGCTTCCTCATGCTTGCATTGTGCTTGGGACTCAACTGAATCCGAATGGTTTTCAGCTTGATTTGCCTCATCCGAGCAAGTGGTGCTTGCGGTGGTGGTCACTTTCGAGTTCTCGTCACTCGCAAGATCGACGTTTGGAACATTCTGGCCTTCTCCGCTCGTGTGTAGCTCTTTGTCCTTCGGACTTTCAATCTCTCTCTTCACGTAGTTTTGTGCGGGGTTGCACATCAGCAGCATCGTGCTCTGCATGTTGTTCCTCACGTTGGCCTTCCCCACTCGGGCTTTTCGCTTCTCCACTTTGCATTGTGGAGTTTCAGGGGAGCGCGACTCTTGCTTGGGGGTGGGCACTGGGGGCTGCTGGTAATTGGCCCCAGCTGGAGACGGAGGAGGCGGCATGCCTCCGGAGGGCATGCCAGCCGATCCTCGAGCTGGGCTT